CATGTAAAAACAAAATATTACATGTCTTAAAAATTCTACTATAGATAAAACAATCAATAACAATATTCAAAAAATTATATATTCAATTTTTATTAATGTATTATATTAAAACCATAATTATTTTAATACTGTTCTAAAAATTCAAATATATATAACTCGTAAAGTTCATTTTTGTATACATATAGATTGATAGAAGAATGAAGATAGAACACGTTGTATTCACAAAGTATCAGATTCAAGAAGAGGAATAGACTAAAAAGTTTAAATATTTTTAATTGTAGACAGATATGCATGTGTATTTAGTGTAATGTGCGATTATAAATGCGTGATTATTCATTGATTTCCATTTCATTTCAAAGAAATCGACATCCGATTTATTTTCGATGCTTATGTTTGTTAAAACATGACGTAATCAATGCCCGAAACAATGTCGGGACGAAATGGAACTCGTAAGGAAGAAATCAACTAGAACCGTTACTAGGTAGAGCCCGGAGCAAGCCTAGCCTGTTAGCCAAAATAAACAGAATGTCACGGATATAAATAAAGCTTTCACTCTCTACGTTCTTCTTTTCGTTGAGCTGTCGCACTTGACGTTGTGACAGAGGTCCGTTGATTGGTGTGCATCCCATCGGAAATACCGCTAAAATGGTTCGCCCATCGCTACACGTCATTGACAAGAATAATTATAGGACAAGATATTATGTTTGTCCTGCATTCAGTAGTTTTCTTAATAATGAGGTTAGCAGTAAGGTATTAACATAAAATAATATGAATTAGTAAGTAAAAATGAGTTTGGCTTACAGTATGTTGAAAATCTTTATTTTATAGAATTATTTTTGAGAAGTTGCATTGATCGAATAGAAGAAAAATTTATTCTAGTGGAAACGTTCGTCTTATTCATCACTTGTTGACCCAAATTATTTAGAAAGAAATGCTGTATCTAAAAAATTGATACGCTGCATTTTTAAATTTGACTTAATAGAATTTTCTGTGACAGATTCAAATTTAATGTCCTTAAAAATGCTTAGTTCTTTTCTTGTACTAAAAATTATTAAAAATTTGTAAACTGTAATGCCTGTTTCCACCAATAAAGATTAATTTGAATCTCGGTTTAACTTACTGTTCATCTTTTTCTGATTTTTAGAACTAGAAAAAGACAAAGAGCAAATTGAACCGAGGTTAAAGTTAATCTACATTGGTGGAAATGGACATAAGTGTGTTAATATGATCCGTATCGAGTCAATTTTATATGATTTGACCACTTCGCGAATCGATAATTTATGATACTTTATTTATGTTTGTTATAGTTGTTAAATAACATGTACTTATTTTATATTGACTAAAACATTACAAAAAATTATTATTATAAATATGTTTCTTTTTATTAATAGCCAAAGTATCAAACAGCCTGAAAGTGGCTATAACTTCATAAATCCATGCCAATAAAAATTCGTAAAAGTTACAGTATTCCAAATAATTCGTAATAAAACCATTTGGTTATATAAAAGTGTCAATGTGCTGTGTGCTACGCATCGAGAAAGTAAGTTTTATGCTTTCGAGCTTTGTACGCGAGCTTGCGAGTTGCTTCTGAATTCGGCTTATGTCAGTTGCGGTGTTCATGAGATTCACCTAACGACAAGGCAACTATGATACTCTAATACTGGAAAAACGTTCTCTTCTTGTTTACTATTTTCCCGTTTTACTGGGATTTACATGTAGCTACAACGGCACTATTCATGTCGGCCGCCACTGCGCACGTCCCGCATTCTATATGGAAAAATCCTTTTCCGTATTGCACGTGCGCGTGGTTACGAATAGCCTGATCTCGGTTTCGGTTACACCACGTCATGTCTATTCATTTTTATATAACGGATGTTATGCACTTGTACCCCAATTCCGTTGGCTTTGCTGATGTCATAAAACGAAATTTTGCTGCTTATCAGTTCAGATAACTTAGACAACTATCACAACTAACATAAGGTAATCGGATTTTACATGACCTAGTACCCATATGTCCTATTTACTATTTGTATAGATAATTACATGTTCATATTAGTTTTGTTTTTTATATATATTTTTCTTTATATTTTACAACGCTGTATTTGATTTATATGTTTATCACATTTTTGTTTATATAACTACAGAGACGGAACTCTTTATAAATTAGAACCAATATGATCAATCTTGACATACTGAGTGTTAAGTATACAAGTACAAATTGTAACGATTTCTTTTATACTTTTGTTACTCTATATTCTATAAGACCATAGAATGCATTTGCTAAACATCATGGAGATTGATAGATAAGAGTAAATAAGTAATTCAATTGTTTGGAAAATACTTTTTTGTGTTAGTTTTACATGCCAATAAACATATCAATATTTGTTAATATTGATAAATTTATATATAAGTAACAGATCACCTTTTCCATTTTTCAAATATCTTTTTACGAAAAGAGGAAAACATATACAAGTTATATTGGTACTTTTTTTTTTAAATTTTTACTGCACTCGATCCATGTAAATATTTGATTGAAAATGTACAAACAATTTGAAATTGTCTTTTATATCGTTTTTATGTTTAGAAATGATTCTCCTTTTTTAAATTTGATCATAAATTTTCTATTTTGGACTCAGCAAAAAATTAGAAAAGAATCACAAAACTTAAGCAAACCATATATATAATTATATCTTTTTTACGACTATTCTGGTGGATAATAAGATTTGTAATAAATTTTATTTAAAACGCGGTGAATGTCGGTAACGTTAATTCCATTGGCTATTCTTGCGATATGTTGCAATGAATTTTTTAATTTTTTCTGTCTTTACATTACCTTTTTAAGCATGTATCACACTATACATTTTGTATCACACCTTTTAATATGCTTTAATCTCTGTATTTATTGCATCTGCTGTTGTAAATATTTAATATATGGCGATAATAATATTATTTTTTATATTTTATAATTTACAGATTTTTAATAAAAATATTGTACGAATGTGTGTGTATAGTAGGGGTATTATTAAGCTTTTTAAAATTAAATATAATATAAATTTATGTTATATTATCTAATAGTAACAATGATAAAAGTTATAAATTAGTAATATATATTTAATTGCCACAATCCACAATATTCCATTTGTATTATTTCAAATTTACATATCTTTTCTCTATTTTTCTGAAATGATATTGTTATAAATGTTAATTTTTTTAAAAGATATATAATTTTATTAAAAAATCGGAGAGAAAAGAAAAGAGTTTATACTTATACCATTAAATAAAATTATTTTTTTTGCTACAATATATTCTTTTTCATTATTATAATATTTTCTTTGTCGTTATTGTACTTTATTGTATTCTAATGCTCCATTTGCTGTTATGTTAGATATTTTAATACATCTCATGCATACAATTGTTATGAGAAAACATATTTAATTGTATAAAATGTAGGCTCTTTTTTAATTATATAATCAATTGGACTTCTTTCCTATGGTCACGTTTTCATCACTCAGAATTGTCTTTGATAACAATTAATATAGGTATTGTCTTTGATAATTTGATTGAAAAATTAAAGCAAATCCAACTGCGAAGCCGTCGCGATTGAATGGTTAACCAATGGAGTAACTTCTGTTTGACGCGTAACTGCTAGTAAACAGGATCGAGCGTCGGTCCATGTAACGTGGTTACTTGATCCAGGATCTTGTTCGTGCAACTGCGCAAGCTCGACCGTAACAAACAAAGTGTCAGAATCAGGTTTCGGTTAACGCTAAACGCAAGGTGTAAAGCCGCTTGAATCTTGGCGTGATTACAATTTGGCATGTCATTTGCACACAGGCTGCGCCTGAAATGGTGTTGCGCTTCGATGGAAAAAAATGACCGCGCGTGAGCATCCTTCGTGGGGGGAGGAGTTCTTATGCGGCACAAAATAAAAAAAAAAAGAGAAAGACAAACGGGATGAATAAAAAGGGGGGAAGGAACGTAAAGGGTGAAACATGGAATGAGAGAGTGAACGATCACGCAAGAGAGAAAGACAAGAAATAGAGAAAAAGTGAGAGGAAAGAGAGGAACCGAGCGGTCCAGCCCAGCGCAGCACGTGACGGGTGTCGTTAATATTTCATTAGCATTCGTTTTGCGTCGTCCCACCGACGTGGCCGGTTTTATGTACGCTTTACGTTACACCCCCGTCCAGCCGGTAGTCGAATTTTTATTGCTAACGCGGCGCAGTTATCCGTAAAAAAATCGCGCGTTTTGCCACGTTCGTTGGCTCTCCTGTTGGTTTTCGCAGTACTATCCGCTGTGCTTTTCGACATTCTCAAATTTTTACATGGTCCTTTTCCGATCGATATGCAATGGAAGAAATAAGGAAATTCAAAGAGTAAAATCTGCTACATGAATAATATTCATGCTCGACGACGGATGATTATCTTCCTTCCATACTTTTTCAATGATATTTTTCACTTTTGATACGCTCTTAAGTAAGTTTTGATAAGTTATTAAAAACAGGCATTAAATAATGATTTGTTTAATATTTCATTAATTCATAGTACATATATATATTTATATTTAAAATGTATAGCAAATAGAATTTATATTTTGAATTTATAAAATATAAGTGGAGAGACTTTACAGTATGGCATTTTAAGAGAAGAATTACTTGTCAATTAACTTTCAGATAGTTCTCTATTATTCTTGTATTTATTTTTATTTAGTACAAAATAAAATAGTAATTTTCTGAATGGGACATTTAAACATTATCTACGTACCTAAAATAATATCTAGAACGAGATTTAATATTTCTTATAATACAATGTCTGTGATTTATCACGGTATTTACGAACAATATATTGTCCAAGTAAATTTGTTAATGAAAAAAATCGAGGATTTAAAAAGTCAAGAAGATAAAGAGGAGAAGACTAATGCCACATACGAATTCGCTTACAAATCGATTCTTAATAATTATGTGTTATCGACAAAATTTGTTCGCTTCTGCCTATCCCCATAATTTTCCTGGCCTACCTTATCATCCTACCACTTGGTGCTTCATAGCTCGCTTATGTCTTCTTTGACTACGCAATCTCGACAAGCCCCTCAATTCAGCCAATTAATTAGTATCTAATGAACGTGCTTTGAGCTGCATTCTCCGTCGAACGAAGAAAGTTAACTTTATCTTCGCGACCGTTATTGTTGTCTTCTCTTTCGGTTATACCGTCATGCCGCGTTGCTCGAAATTCCATCCTTAATCGTGCCAAAACTTCGAAGCGATTGAGCGATCATTAAACAAGACGCTCGAAATTTTATTATATTTGATGTTAAAAATGTAACTCAAAATTTTGGCTCTTGTTAAAATCAGACTTTAATGCATTTGAAAAAAGTTTGGAATTTATTTTTTATAAAATAGATCAGATTTACGAAAAATATAAGTATTTGACGCGAAATGTTACCACGTCTTTTGGTTTCCTATTAAAATTACATATTTTTACTATTGCAGTGTATTATCATGTCTTTTGCTTTAAATATATCGATCTATAAAACAGATTGTTACTGTCTCAACACCTGCGCATATTGTTAATGTATACAACAAAAGTGCACATTTTTTTTTCTCATAAAGTAACAATACTTCGGTTTCCTTAAAAATTAATTCAATGCCATTACTTACAATACGGTTTGAGTGCTTCGCGATATTAAAAATTTAATTAGCAATTTTAGCGCGCACGTCTTGAAAAAATAATTAAACTTTTCACTCACCATTCCGATTCTCACTGTCGGCTGGCTTCATTTGGATCGGATGGCGCATCTGAAAATAAAAGAGTCAACGATATAGTTTTTGCGCTTCCGCACCTTGAAAGCGTCTGGGCACACGTGTGTAATAAAAGTGACATTTATTATTGATAAGACTGCCGATATCGTCGGCGTTAGAGTGCGGGTTCGAGTGTAAAGTTCGTTTCGCGCTTTTTGAAAAATGCAACGATGGGAAGCCGTTTTCCGCGGTTTGCGGTTTGCTCTCGTTGTAGTTACATAGAGACGAGTGTGAATGCAATTCGCCTAGTCTTGTTCTAAGGATTCCTTCCTATTTCGTACGCGAGACTGAAAATCGAACGCGATATTACGCCGGAAATCGCCGGAATGTTTTATAAAACGTCATATTATTGGCACAAATCTGTGTCGATGCAACCGCGTTTCCAACAGGGGATTGAAAAAGTTACTTTATAAAAGTAACTAATTACAGTTATAGTTTTTTTCTCAATAAGTAAGTTTTATTTGTTATACTATACATTCAATTGTACATTATATTGTTTATAATAAATTAATACATGCACTTGGAATCAAAATCATGGTATCTATATTAGATTGTTTTGTTAACACACTGAAGATGATCTAATTGTAGAAACGTTTATTCATATTTTTGTATTAAATCAGATGAATTATAAAATATTAAAACCAATATTCAATAAATATTAATACAATTTAACATTATGAACGAGAATTTAACATAAAAAAAAGAAATTGTATGAGAATATATTATTATTTTAAAAAAGTCATTAAAATTCTAATATATTGTACTTCTGTAATGGCAGATATTACGATAGCAGTGTTCATATTACGATATATTGAGAGGTCATCGAAACAAGCGACTTTTTTGGATAAACGATATTTATGAGTGAAATGCATGGAAATCGACGAAATCGTGTTTGGAAAAGTAGATTCATCGTATAACCAATCGCTTGTGTGAATATGGAAATCATTTCGACATATTCGTTCGAACATGTGCAATGAGATTTTCTGCGCAATGAATTGATGACTGACTACATGCTCGCAACAAATACACTAGATCTTCATAAACAGATAAGAATTGAGAAGCATCAGTGCGTAGTAGTGCGATACGTGCGATTATCTATCGTTCGTTGTATTAAAATCGATTTATGTCAGATTTAATTGTGCGGATTTTGCTGCGGAATAAAATTCGTTGGAAGTGAATGTTTTAGCAATTATGCGATTGAAATAGAGTACATATGAGTAAACGATTTTCGAGTAAATGAATGTTATCGCGGCAAAACACGCGTGTAGGCTCTCATATATTTTTCTGCGTACGTTTAAAATACTCATATCATTTCAATACTGTTAAAATTTTCGGATAAAAAGTGCGGTCAGTGAAATCTTTTTTTTTTTTAATTTACGATACACGAATATAATAGCTGAGTACAATAGCCAATAGACCTCAATTATATCGTTTACGATGCTTTGTTCTGTAAACATTGTATTTATTGCATCCATAAAGTATTATAATTATCGATAATGTTTACTTATTTTATGTATGGTATATTGCTTTATAATAAATATATTTCTTAAAAGATAAAAATTTTTCAGCATTCTTTATTATATGGATTTCAGAATATATGTATATCGTTGAACTACCTGTCTTATGAAGACCCATAAAAAATTAGTGAGAGGTGATTATTCTTGGCAAATAAAAATGCAATGGCTGTATCATAAAGCTAAGCTCTTCCAGCCAAGATAATGCATTATTGCGTCATAACAAAATAACTGCATGTAAAGGAAAAGGAGAAGAGAGAAGAATCACGAAAGAAAATCAGAAAGGGATATCATTTATAGGTACATTGTGATAGAACCTCTCTTCTGAGGAAAATGGCAGCTAGTCTAACATTCCCATTTATTATGATGGTTATTACATGCTGGAAAAATAAGCCATCAATTTTTACGACGTTTGAATTATATCGATCCAGCAATTTATACTTCAACGGGAGTGATGAACAAAGAGTTACGATTCCTGCCACTTTCAAACTCCTTATTTTTAATTTAATTATTGGACTCGTTAAATTTAACGCCATCACTAAGTTCTAACGACGATGAGAAAGCTCGATGGAAACATTCGAGAGATCCTCGATGTGCCGCCAGTCGTAATGAATGACTCACGCATTGCGGGAAACGGAACAAGTAAGAGTATACTCGATCCAACATGCCGTTGCTAATCGATTAAACGCGAGTAACCATATCATCATAACGTTTTAGAATGATGAAAGATATTGTAAATAAAGATACCTAATTGATGAAAAGATAAAATATATTTATAATTTGAGTTTGATACAGATATTTTATAGAAATCTAAAAGTCCGTACAATGAAAACGAAACCTAGAGAATTAAAAAATACATAACAAAGGCAATGTGAGACACAAATACCTATATGAATACTAAAATGATTTTATATATTGAATTATTAGATAAGAATTATAAATAAAAAAATCAGAGAAATAAAAGCTTTCACATTATGTTTCATGAACAATTAACCTATTCTATCTAGATTTATGTATATTAATCTATCTACAGCTCTATCTAGTTCTATAATATATACGAGTATATATATATATATGTACTTTTCTCATATTCCATATATCTTTATTATAATAAAGCTTGTGAATTATACGAGCTTTTCCAAGGATAGTCGCATTCATAGTCGGTCCAATAGTCGTTTTCATAATTCCTTACATTTGATGTAATCCGTTGGACAATTACGATCGTTTTTAGTAGTGAACGGGTTAAGACTTCCCGCAGAGTACCATGTTCGCTGCGAACTACTGCGCGCTCATTTGCCATTCATTCCTGAAACTGGGTTGCTCGCAATTGTGCCTCCGGTTCTATCTCGCAGCCGTCTGTGTCGGGAAGGATCACCCCAAGATTCGAATTCGATATCCGTATCGACTAGTGGGATCGATATGCCAAGCAAGGTATAATCGGCCCACCAGCCACGATTGCGATCGAAGATTATGCGCATCGACTAACGACCCATATACCACAACGATGATGCAATCTGGAGGCACCAGATTCGCTATATAGAGTAGTAAGCTGGTATACCGATACGAGACATAACAGACTACAGTACTGTGCAATAGCTTCGATATTTTAAGTATATTATCTTACTATTAAAAACGTTTTCAATTTTTGATACTTGATATAGGAATACCCCATTTAATTAAAAAATATACATTAAAATTATTTTGAAAGTTAAATATTTTTCATAAATAATTTTAATGATTTAAGATAATCTTATTAATTTAATGTCTGGGGAGAACTATGACACTTTTAACAATAACTTTCTTATAGTTTTCATTGTTGGTTTGTGGAATTAGATATTTTTAAGATGTTCTGTAAATGTTTTATATTAATCAATTGATGACATACTATTATAAGATATTTTAAACTATTATATTTTTCAAATTTTATATCATATATATGTATATACAGAGAATTTCCTTCTCAAAAGTTCTTTGAAAATATTAAATATTAACATACATCACAGATCTAATTCTTTATTTTTGGAAAATAGCACAGCCAGATAACAAACACATTTTGCTTGTATAATTTCAAGACGTATCATAATAATAATAATTCTTCGTTAATCCACAGCTAGCGATATAAATTAAATAATCCAACAGATCAAGACTATTACACGCTCATAAATAGAGCACTGACTTTGGAGCGCTCGACTATGTTGCTTGGAGAAATGCCTGCTAGCCGGCCTCTTAAATCAACGAGCGGAACGCTCGTAATACCAAAAACCAGTCGTGTAACTATTATCTGCAAACCATCTTTGAATGTTCGTAAATGTTTTAGTATAATGCTTACAAGAGTCCAAATTCACGAAGCTATATTTAGAAACAATTAATATTACCATTAAAGAAATATAGAAAACAAGTATGGAGATTAATTTGAAGCTGAACATAAATCTGAAAATTCGTGAGATGAATTATGAGGGTTAAAAAAATAGTTGTTGATATCGCGAAAAATACAGTGTAAAAAGAATTCTGTCCAAGGATAAAACGAAGCATCCCGTTCAGAGGTGTGCGCTATCTTGTTGCGAGTGAGTTCAGAATATTCTATTTGCGAATCTCCTCAATACTCCGAACGCGAAAGAATTTCTCGTATCGCACCGTGAGAGCCAGCTTGAAATTCATATCTATGCTAAGCGCGTGGCGCGTTTGGGTTTAGTATCTTCCGCATCGTACCTTTATATTGCGGCCGATTCGGTAATTTCGTGCATGGCAATTCTGCTTAAAGTCGACGGATGGTTTGATCCGTAAGCGAGGATAAACTTTGCCTGCTTGATGATATTTTTATAGAGGCCCCGTAATTCAAGAAGCGTGAATTTTGGTGAGAAATACCGAGAATATTGGTGAAAAATTTGGGAAAGCGTTCATGGAACGATACCGCAATATCCGGCAAAGAAATTAAATAAAATCCCACGGGTCTAAATGTTCCCCGAAACGTTGATATCCTTGGAATAATAAAATATCTGGAATAGATAAAGCATAATCGGCTTTCAGTCTTCCGAACGTGCAATCTCTTTCTGACGGACTGCAATTCTCGATTTTTAATCTAGACTCTTTCCAAGAAATGAAGTTCAACAGTTTTCGTGTAAAAGAAGAAGCCGCCAGCGCGAGTTGGAGTTACACTCCTGAATTTCTCCCAACGTTCATCCTCATTTAGGAAGTGCAAGTTTCCTTTCGTAGAAATTCTTTTTCCACATCATAAGTCAGAAACCAACCTTTTATCTTACTAAATTTTAATCCAACCATATTAATAGAGACTCTTAGAATACTCACAGTGAATTATAATAGGTATATTATATTGTACATATATATATATACTAGATTATACGAGAGAGAGTAGTATATAATTATTTCATATATTGTAATAGAGTTTATAAAACTGAATTATCGTATTTAATCAATATAAAATATGTTTTATTGTAAAAATAATATATAAATTGATTTGCTTTA